TTCATTCAGGGTTTTGCTTACAGGATGCCTGCCTCCCAAAGCCCACAGCGTTTGTGCTAGTCCTTCATGCCCAGTGGGAGTCACTGCAGGGCTCGACAGTGCTGGGGTGCTAAAGCTGGACTGCTCAGACGTGCAGTGCTCCAGTAGGTACACTCAGCTGGACAGCTGAAAGGATGATGTCTGGCAAGTCCGATAGTAAACAGATCGAGAGTTCAAACTCAAACCTAAAAAGAGAACTTGGAAATGCTAACCCATATTGAAGTGGTATATTCCTGTGTCTTTGCTGATGCTTTCATGCAAGTTAGCCAAGTGCATCTCAACAGACACAGAAAGATGCTCATTGTAGTCAGAGGCCATGAAAAAGGCATCTGGTCCAAGCTGTTGTACAATTTGCCTTCCTAGCTGGAGACACTTCAAGAAGAAATCTGAAGGGTGGATCAGGCAGAGAATGCATTGGGGATTTATTTCATCAGTGGGGAAGATGATGTATGGGTGGGCTGAGCTGAAGGCCATGACAGCACTGCAGTCAGGCTCTGCTGTTCTTCTCTGCAACATCCCTGCATCTGACTTATTATCAATAAGCAGCTGCTGCAAAAATCGAAGCTCTGTTGAAATGACAACTCTGTTGAAGGGGCAGATGGTCCTACAAGCAAATGTTTCGCTAAGGACTGGGTAGGTATCATCAAACTCCTTTCTCAATGACTCAGAAATATCTCCTGATGTCCCAGGAGATATTTCACAGAGCCGCTGTACTATGTAGCCAGGGGGCCAGGAATACTGTCTTATTTTGACCCACCCTATCTTTGTTTCTTCTCTAACATGCCACTCATATTTACAGAATGAAATAGAAAACACACTACAAACTGCTATTATTTTCGTGTTTTTACATTGACATGTATTTGCATGCCAACATCCAGTGAGCATTCAAACTGGTAGCTTTGGTGGTTCTTCTCTGCAGTGAATTCTGTAGGGTCTTGGTTCCACCTTCAAGCTCCATCTTTATGAAGACCAAGGGCCTCCTGAGTATTTCTGCTTTCTGCATTTAAAGAAGGATGAAGCACAAAAGTTACACGGATGGGCAACTATGCTAATTAAGGGGACAGAGGAGATGCTTTATAAAGAGACTGAAAAGTCTTGGAGTCTTTTGCTTAAAAAGGAGAAGTCTGACAGGAGATATGATCAAGGTTTACAAAATTATGAATGCAGTGGAAATGGTACCCATAGGACTGCTTTTCGCTGCATTTAATAATGTTAGATGCAGGACACATTCACCTAAGCTAGTAAGAAACCAAACCACTTAAAATTGTTTAAAAAATTAATAAAAGAAGGCACATTTCTACTGAGCGGGTAGTGAACTTCTGGAATCTGTTGCCACAGCAATGACCTGCAACATCTGCCCCAGGCAGACAGCATCAGAAGGTTCAAAAAGGGACCAAACAAACCCAGGGACAATGGGTCCATGAACAACCAGCACAGGCAGGCATGTTCCTGATAACACACCAAACACAATAACTGTGTCTGCAGGAGACTACTAGGGAGAAGACTGCAGGCAGCAGCCAGGCCCCTGCACTGTCACTGAACAACATATCCAGGTCCAGATGTGAACCCAGGCGTGACACACTTGGGTGTTTCTAAACCTGATTATGCCTGATTGCTAGGGGGCTGCTAGTTTGGGATTGATTTTCACAGCAACCATAACTCACTTGCAGTTGTGGCTGTTCAAGAAGTCTCTGTCAATGGGCATCCATAAAGGCAGCAGCCAATATTCATGAAACCTACTGAAAAGCAAGGCTATACAGTTGTTTTTTTTGTTTGTTTGTTTCTTCTGTTTGTTTGTTTTTTGTTGTTGTTTGTTTCTTTCTTTCTTTCTTTCTTTTTATCATTCTGCAGGGAGACAGGCTTATTATACCAGAGCAGTCTGATTAAAGTTCATTCCTACCCTCGAGCGGTCCACACGACAGCCGAGCTTTGCAGAAACACGTTCTCTGTGGCACAGCAAGCAGCATCAGGATGACATTGGGAACAGTAATTACAAATATGCCTGCCAGGCCTGGAGCTCACATGCTCTGAACAATAAGAGCAAGAGGACACTGAGAAGGAACTCCAACAGATGTCCAAATGACATGGAGGAATAGCTCACTTGCTGACTCCATCACTGCTTTTCTATTGTAATAATTACCTGGCACGCAAAGCCTTTGTACAAGCCTGACACCGTCCGTCCTACAAAGGAGTTGTTTTATGCTTAGTGGCATTCCATACAGATGACTGGCATCAGTGACAGGAAGATTGATTTTTGTGTGTCTCTCCTCATTCTTATTTTAGCTATCCTTCATCTGCATCTAATCTCTTGGCATAACGCTAGGGGCAAAGAATAGGTCAGTGGGAGTCTTATTGCAAAAGACCAACTCAAGAAAACTTCAGCTTAAGTTTTAGGAAAAATCATCGTAGAGTCATACTTCTTGTTTGCTGTCTACATATTAAATGGATCTTCAAACTTTGGCTCCATGTGTAATTTGGTCATATGAACATTCGTGTGAAGCCAATTTGTTTAAGCTGAAGAACTTTACTGTTAAATCCAGACAGACCCCGGGACAACAAAAAAGACTGACTTCTGAATCATCTGTGAAAGGACTGTGACCCACATAACTGAAAACTCTGATTCATCCCACTTTGGACCATCTTAAACCTCCACGGTTTACTGGCTTGTACTTCTGTTTTTTTACTTTGTGTGTGTGTGTGCGTGTGGGGGGGTTTTTTTTGTTTGTTTGTTTTTTACTTTACTGGCTTGTACATGTGTTACATTAAGAAGAATAAACAAATAAACACCTCATTGCTTTTGGGTACAGAGAAGGTTATTTAAAATATCTGTGAAATTGGTGACCCTCTGCTGTCATCATCATCAATAGTTCACATATTCTGCGCTATAGATGAAAAACAGTATAAATGGACAAAAATTCTCCTTTTTTTTTTTTTGTTCTTCTCATTTGCTGTTTCCGCATTTAAGGCCACCATATGCATTATCGGCCCGCCTCCCAGAAGTTTCTGCAGGGTTTTCAGACAGCAACACTGGCAAGAAAGACATCTTAAAAATAGAAAAATGTGGTAAATAACATAAGCTAAGGTAGGACCTGCTTTCTTCTTCCACTTTATGGAAGTTTGCATTGGGCTCCCATGTGCAGAACACAGCGCAAATATAATAGTCGATAATCCAAAAAACAGGCAAGCCTTTTAACCTGTTTTCTCCAAGTTGACTCAATTCCCAGGAGACAGCGTCCCTTCAGTACCGGGACGAGATCCTCCTCCTTCCCATCACAGCAATGCCAGTGTGTAAAAAGAGCCGCCATCCTCTCACGCCATGCAACGCTTGTCGCCACCCACTCCTCCCACCTCACAGCTCCTCAAGACACTCATTTCTGTTCCCAGAATATATCTTCCAGACAGAATCAAAAGTGATCTACATCTCAGCAGGAAGCCTACATTCTTCCAGACACTATTGGCTTGGTTCCCTTTGTTTAAACAAAAGATTTTCCCCAAAAGCTGCATGGAGGAAGGGGCTCTTTAGTTGCTTTGTTCTGTGGTTTGCTTACACAAGTCTCCTGCTGGAAGTATGCAGGGCTCGCACTGAGGCTGCTCTAGCTGTAAGAACAGACAGAAGAAACCTCCTGATGATTGAACATGTATTGTTCAAATGGATATGAGGTGATAGATAATTTGCTTCTGCCTTGCTTCGCAGGCTCTTACAAATGTGCTGCCCTGAAAATGCTCTAATGTTGAAAGCTATGCCACTAGAAGAGCTGGATGGCTTCATGCTATTTCTTTCTTCCAGCATCAGAATATGTTTTTGCACTAAGATTTAACTGATTTTGTTTAACCTACCACTTCCTCCTGGCTTGTCTTTGTGCTCAAGGTCATAAGGAACATATACATTTACGGACTTCGAATACAGTCCTTTGGCCTTGAAAGGAGACTACAGATGCTACAGGAAAATAAATAATGAATTCGTTTAGGTCACTGACCTTCTGAATACAGCCTACAATGGCAAACCAGGGAAGGTAAGAGGATGAATGCTGCTCAAGGCTAAAATGCTTTACAAAAGCTACCATAATCCAGGGCTGACTAAATCATATGGTTCTACGTCCTGCTAGTCCCTGTATTACCTGAAAGCTTCCAAAGAGCAAACAAACATCACAAGAAACAGGGCCAGCTATGAAAGTCCCAAAGTATTCCTGTTCCCTGAGCTCCTGCCAGGCACTGTCTCCTTCTACAAGTGATGCCTTGGATACAGAGAAAGTATGTACGAAGGAGGAATGCCATGTAGAAGCTGCAAGCACTGCCCAACTTAGCTTACCAAGAGAGAAGAACCAAATGCCAAACCCCTCCAAAACTGTTCTGGATGCTGCCCGGGGCAGCAGGCATCCGCATTAAAGCTGGGGTCTCACCCAGCCACCCACCTCCTGTGCAACACGGCCCACGGGGCAGGGCACCAGAAAAGACGCGGCATAAAAACATCTTTGCTGTGACACAGAGCGGGGCTCTGCGAGCTGAACACATCAGAGCTGTTTTTGCACTAACATTAATTTCTCTGTTTAGTTACTATAGCAAAGCATTTCTTGGCAATTCACAAGAAGCCTTTGTTGTCCGTTTCCCAGCCTCTCCATATCTGAAGGGCTGAGCTGATTCCCCGTGCACAGTAGGCCTTTTCATGCCATGCACAGACCGGTTATCACAAGAGACAGGGCAACACAGAAGCTGAAGGGGAAGACATTTTCATTTCAGCACCTAGATAACACACAAATAATGGTAAGCTTCTGCGAGCAAAAAGCGGGAACTGCAAGCAAAGCCACTGCTGTGTTTTCTTTTTCCCAATTTGTTTCCTGCTGGATCTCCGAGAGCGCAAATCACTATGCTTGATAAAAGCTCTACAGTCTTTTTGTTCAAGAGAAAGAATAAATTAGTTCTACTGTGCCAAATTCTGGTTTGGAAAATTACCATTTACCTACCCGTGAACTTCCCCATAATGACAGCAAGTGTAGCACTCCCTCCCTTGACTCAGCGAGCATGGGCAGCACTCCTTTGTGCCTTTTGACAAGTAGCACCTCTCAGCTCTGCAAAGCCAGCAGTTCAGAAATTGGTGAATGAGCTCCCACTGTCCGTGGAAAAAAAAATAATAATGAAAGATCAGAAACACCCTCATAAATCCCAATGCGCTTTACAAAATATGTGTTTGTCAGACTCAAATGAATTATGAGAAGGATTCACACCGAATGCAATCCACAGAAGTGTGAACTGTAACAGCAGGATGTACTTAGTTCTTGTATTAAAGACTGAAATGCCACTTGACACCTGGTTTTCCCACAAAGATGTGTCCTTACATCTGCAAGCTACAGTGCAAAATTCCAGAAGTGGCCTTCTGTTTCTGTATATCCAGAATAATTAACCACATAATTGGAAGAATACATCTCCCTGGCATAGAGACGTGGGTAAGGGAACTTCAGAAAGCCCAGCTCCATAAAGCCCAACTTCAGAAAGCCCAAGATCTTCCAAGGTTGTGGTGATGCTGCCAGCCCTGCATAGCTCTGCGCCCTCTGGACTCCCAGGTCCCCTGGCCATCTGGCAAATGACAGGCCTAAACAGAATTTTTTTTCCTTCATTTTCACATCCAAAGATTGGAAGGAACCATCCCATCGTTTCAAAATGCTATCCACAGACAGTGGTTATTAGTTGCTTTCTGAAACTGGACTGCACTGTAAGAACAGCTAGCAAGATGCCGCAATGGTTGGTAATGACAGGATTATTAAGGCAGAGAAATGAGCAGCTATCATGATGAGGTGTTAGGACAATCGCTCATTGAGATGGCCCCTCTGTGGTTTTTTTTTGATCTAATGAATGCTACTAACCTCTTACAGGGCTCAAGCACTTGATCATGTTTTATTTTATTTATTATTTTTTGCTTGCTTTAGCCTGATGCCTCTTCATAATGAACGGGAAATTGCAATGTCAAAATCAACAATTCTAGGAGCAGACACTGATATTGGATGACTCTGAATTTAAGAGCCCACCACAGAATCCTGCAGCGCTATTGTTTCAGGTTTTTTGAGCAATGAAATGAGCAAAAGTGTTCCACAGCCATTGAAATCAGGCCCAAGGGATCCCCCTCCTTCCTTACTGTTCCCTTTAGAAAGGAACTCCACTGCCAGTGGAGCTTGGTTTGTAAAAGTGGAAGCTACCAGAAATGCCACGGAGCTGCCTGGGGACTCCATGTAAAACATACCCAGATATCCTGGCAGCGGGTTGCAATTCATCAGTCTAAGTATCAACAGACAGACAAATGAACAGAGTCATCTCTGCAAGGCCAGTCCCTACATAACAGAGCTAGTGACCTACAAACCCACGCTTTAACCACAAGACCATACCTCCCTTTTACTCATTAAGTTATCCTCTGTGACTGTCAGTGATCATACAGCATATTCCTGCCAATTCTCCAAGGTCTTAAATGACTCAACTGCTTTAGTTTGTATGTGCAGTGACACTTTCCATGACTATATTTAGTTTTAGAGAGGGTCTGGAAAAGTGATATCACACGGGAATGAGGAAGTATTTATCCCCCAACTGGAAACACATGATGATGATGTAAAGCTACTATTTGGAGAGCTCTATTTATACTGTTGTTTCCTGAATCTAACGTGACTCAGAGAATCTCCAGACACAGCATGGCAGCACCCACCGCTGTATTCTGCTGCGGCCACTGACAAAGTTTCACAAAAGTTTGACTAACAGCAAGCTGCCACTGCTCTGTGAAGCAAGGCTGAGCAACAGGTGCTGAGGAAGACTCATCCATCTAAGAACATTTGCTTCCTGGGTAAAAAATAGCATTTGAACCTGATTTATTTGGTTGACTTTTTCTTCCTATGACTTTAAGTCTCCTGACTCATGAGTCAAACACCCTTTAGGGGGGAAAAAAAAAAAAAAAGATGCAAAGTCTATATACAGACATGCAAGGGGAAAAAACACCTTTGACAAATTCTCTGCCACAATGAATCCTCCATCAGTGACTTGGTCAATGGATTTAAACTCTGTGTAATTAATGGTAGACCAGTGACAGAACAATATGGGAAACACCTAACAACCACCATATAATAAATACACAAGGACAGTTAGTGCGGAGTGAAATCTGATTTCACGAACTGTTGCTTGTTGTGATTTGTTTTAAACAGACCAACAGCTGCTTTCCCAAAGACAATTCCTCCTGCTTCTTGACAAGTCAGGCATTTCTATGATCTTTTTAGAAGTACTCCCTGTAAGGCTTATAAAGGCAGAGGAAATCCAGCTGCAGAACAAGTTCCCAGGAGTAAATCTTGAAAATCTGGCCTGAATGTTTCCCAAAAGGACCGCTGACCTTTTTGCTCAGACAAGAATATGGTTCCAGTTAAGGGAATGATCTTCAATTACTTCCCCTTCTTTTTACTTTTAAAGAAACGAAACAACCAGAGCACAACTCTGTACTCTGAGAGCAAGCAGACAGAAGCTCCATGGCCATGACTAGACTGATGTAGCAGACTGAGGAAGAACAGAGAAAAAGAAGTTGGGAAGAAAAACAAGAATCAGAATTTCACATCTATGAGTACCAGTGATCTGCAATGACTTTAATACGCTATGTGGATCTTTCTCTAACATGATCTTCTATTTCTAGGCCAGCCTTGCTCCCGGAACTCATCCGTATCTGTCTGTAACAACTGGATTACACTGTCCACAGGACTGGTCTCTCCACGAGCGTGTGGGTAAGTCAGAGCACAAAGTGACACGCTGTCAAATTGGAAGCCATTTCACACCCGCTTTGCACAAAGCAGCCACATGGAATAGTGAATCAAGCCATACGAGTCGTTTGCACTTGGCTAAGAGTTTATTCACCTCTTCCAAAGTTTAATATTTATCGAAATCACAAGGTGACTGAATGATGCTACACTGCTCAGCTCTTAAGGGCAGAAACTCCCAGTGATTACAGACACAAGCAGGATGCCTAAGTACAAAATAGGAAAAATGGAGGGGGAAAAAAAGAGAGGCTCAGTAACGAGGGGATCATAGCAATTACCTTCCTCAAAAGAGTTTTCTTTTTGCCTCGGTCACGCCAGGAAGAGGTTAATTTTTTTTCTAAAAAGGGAAAAAGAGCTGGGATAAGTTTCCACCAACACCTCCAAAATATTGTTTAAACTTCAGGACAAATGGGAAATAAGGACCAGCTACCTGAAAATCCTCATGTTGCTGTATCAGTGAGCAGTCCTCAGTGATCACAAACAGCCAAGGGAGCCATGTGGCCCTGGGTTCTCCCCAGAGACACCATGGATGTAAAGGGTCCCCTGCTACCGCCCAGAACAGCCTTACATGTACATTTCTGCTTTCACAACAGCTCTCATGCTAGCCTCCCAGCTCTTTGCTGGGCCACCCATGCTCTTTTATACCCCTCATAGTCCCCAGCCTAGAAGAAAAATCCAGGATACATCTTGCTGCTGCACCCTGTTCAGTGTCCAATCACATTCCCTATGAAGATGTAAGCCCCACCTGCAGGCAAGATCACAGCCAGCCAGCTGTGTAAGCTCCTTAGGACAGTCTGAGAGGAGTAACAGAGCAAATTTTGTATTTTAACTGGGTGTAGGCTGACTGAAGATTGGTTTCTGAAACATCTGCTTATTTGCTTCTTCACTGTGAAGTATGGCTTTTACATCAATATTGCATTTTCTCAACAACTGCATGCAATTGGTAAGTGTTTAGGGTTTTACATTAAGAAAAAGCTGCATGTGTTTCAGTCTTCAGCAAATAGTTTTCCCTTGTTCCCAGCCCCCTTTTCTTTTAAGTTCTGGCAATCAAAAACTTCAGACAGTTACAAAATACTTGTAATATAATCACAACCAGAAGATCCCCCTTTGCCACAGCTCGCTTGCTAAGCAATCCCACACCCCAAAAATATAGTCTAGAAAGATAGAAAAAAAGAAAATTACAATATCAAACCCACTTCTGTTACTACTGACATCCATAACAGAAGAAAAAAACACTGCACTCTGATAACTGAGCAGCAGTGCTGGCAGTGAGTGATTAATTGCCATATACCTTCCTTGTCTCGTTCCTGTCACACAGTTAATTCAATTGTTTGCCAAAGAGTGCTAATATAACTGCTGATTGCTTATATTCTGTATTACAGAAACACTGTAACATCATTAAACACACATCATCCAGCAGCACTAATGTGACCTGACAATACTACAACAGCATTAATGCAACTGTTCAGGTTTTCTCCTGAGACATATGAATGTCTCAGGAGAAAACCTGAACTTAATTTTTATGATTGTCCAGACCTGATTTCTCTTGCTTTACTCATATGCTCCTTAACACTCTCTCCAATATTCTGCGGTCCTGTTATCTACTGTACCCTGAGCAGTACCTGTACCTCTGCAGTTCATCTCCGGATGATCTTACCAGCAAATGATTTCAGTTGTATCTGAACTGATGATGCACAGATGAACAGCTATTTCCAGACTTCTCGCTTTCAGTGCTCAGAGAATTGTTGGTCTGTCTTTGGGACAGATCACCCAGAACTTCCACCCTCTGGCTCAAGCACAACACAGTAGAAGAAAATATTTTATTTTCCATCAGATTTCACCTCTTCTTGCTTTACATCCTGGCAACAACTCAACTCATCCCTGTATCACCAGCTGTCCCCTTAGACATGCACTTTTTTTTTTTTTTCTGGTCTATTTTAACAGACAAGGTAGATGGGGCATCCTGCAAGTACTTTTTACGCAGCGTCTCTGCAGTTCCTCCTTCCTCAGGCTGCTAGCACCTGACATTTCAGGTACTCTGATGTTGTTTTCTCAAGTCCTGATAAAGAGAAACATGTTCTCCCCTATCCAGAATGCTTCAGTAGAGATCACTTTCCAAGCCTGTCACTATCACCTCACTGCTGTCTGCACCAGTTCTCTTCACATACTTTTGTATCAAACATAAGCCTCTTATCTTTGGTTTTAATGCTTCCATCACTTATCCTCACCCTATCTATCATTTCTCACTCACTACAGAGATACCGATTCCAGCTTCCAATCAGCCTGGGAAGCCTTCCACTATCACTCAACTCTCAAACCTTCCAACAAGCATTTTCATGCTTTCCTACTGCTACTGCCTTCCTCCTTCATTTTATTTTTTTGTGTGTAAACTTCTCAGTACCACCTTTATCAGACCTGACACCTGTCATGCAAAATGCGTAATGCTGTTGTCTTCTCTGTCCTCTCCCATGCATCATCTATAACCACCTGTTATATCCTCATTTCTCTTAAGAGGAAAAGCTCTGCAGACAGAATCAGACTTCTGCTCTGTGCTGACAGTGCCCAGCAAGGTGGAGTCCTGCTCATGTGCCAGGTATGGCCTACAGTATGGCAACGTGCAGCACGACAATGTGTGGTAATGCACAGTAACAGTGAAGACCTAATGGACAGTCACATGAATCTTGGCTTGTTCTGGATATAAGAGGTCTGTGTTACCAAAAGAGCTGAGAGGTAGAAGTGAGCAGACAAAATACACCACTATATTTGCTCATCGTGGTTATTTGGGTGTAAACCTGCAATTTTAAAATAAAATAAATATTTTAGAATGTGTATCATAATTTAATTCAGGTAGCTTACTAGTAGCCACCCTGAGAAACAGGAAACTAGCATAGTCTAAACTCTAGATTCATTCTTAAAACCTTTGCTAAACACTCACAGATTCCCCAGTCTGTCTGCTATGAAAAGTTATATTGTTAACATGCTTTATTTTAGTTCAGCTTATTTCACTTTTCTTACTGGAGTAAACCACACTGGTGTAAATCCATCTTTATAACCATATAACTGCACTGGTATTAATGTTTCTGCTAATGAGACTATTTCAGGTTTCATAGCAGCTTAACAAGGAAAAGTGAAGCCAAACTGTAGCCCATAGACTCATAATGAGGCTCGTGGCTCACGTGGCTCAGAGGCTGCTACCAGCACAGAAATCTTGTTTTTTTTGACCATGGGGGGCTTTACTCAGCGCCCGGCCTGATGGCCGCAGACAGGTCCCTATCTCTAAGGGTAAAATGGATCCTGGGCCAGGAGGTGGCGGGGCTCATTGAGAGGGCTTTGAAATAGGTGAGAAGGGGGATGGGGCTGAAACAAGGCTTGTTAGAGCTGTGTCAGGGGTAACAATGGCAAGGCTGGGGGATAAGGCAATGGCCCAGCTGAAGTGCATCTACACAAATGCATGCAGCATGGGTAACAAACAGGAGGAGCTGGAAGCCATCGTGCAGCAGGCAGGCTACGACTTGGTTGCCATCACAGAAACATGGTGGGACCACTCTCATGACTGGAGTGCTGCGATGTCTGGCTATAAGCTCTTCAGAAGGGACAGGCAGCACAGAAGGGGTGGTGGTGTGGCTCTCTATATTAAAGAATCTTTCGATGTTGTGGAACTTGAGGCTGGGAATGACAAGGTTGAGTCCCTTTGGGTTAGGATCAGTGGGAAGGCCAACAAGGCAAGCATCCTGGTGGGGATCTGTTATAGGCTGGCAAACCAGGATGAGGAGACTAATGAGGAGTTCTACAGGCAGCTGACAGAAGTTGTGAAATCTTCATCGCTTGTTCTTGTGGGGGACTTCAACTTCACAAATATATCCTGGAAACACAACACAGCCCAGAGAAAGCAGTCTAGGAGGTTTCTGGAGAGTGTGGAAGATAGCTTCCTGACCCAGCTGGTTAGTGAGCCTACCCGGGGAGGTGCCCCGCTAGATCTCCTCTTCACAAACAAGGAAGGACTGGTGGAGGATGTGGTGGTTGGAAGCTGTCTTGGGCAGAGTGACCATGAAATGGTAGAGTTCTCCATTCTTGGAGAAGCCAGGAAGGAGACCAGTAAAACCTCTGTCTTGCACTTCCAGAGAGCCGACTTTGAGCTGCTCAGGACACTGGTTGGTAGAGTCCCTCAGGAGGCGGTTCTGAAGGGCAGAGGAGTCCAGGAAGGCTGGGCGCTCTTCAAGAAGGAAATCTTAATGGCTCAGGAGCAGTCTGTCCCCACGTGCCCAAAGACGAGATGGCATAGAAGAAGACCGGCCTGGCTGAACAGAGAATTGTGGCTTGAGCTTAGGAGAAAAAAGAGGGTTTACAATCTTTGGAAAAACTGGCGGGCCACTGAGGAGGACTGTAAGGATGTTGCGAGGCAGTGCAGGGACAAAATTAGAAAGGCCAAAGCTCATCTGGAGCTCAATCTGGCTACTGCCATTAAAGACGACAAAAAATGTTTTTACAAATACATCAACGCAAAACAAACGACTAAGGAGAATCTCCAGCCTTTACTGGATGCAGGGGGAAACCTAGTTACAAAAGATGAGAAAAAGGTGGAGGTGCTCAATGCCTTCTTTGCCTCAGTCTTTAGCGGCAATACCAGTTGTTCTCTGGATACCCAGTACCCTGAGCTGGTGGAAGGGGATGGGGAGCAGGATGTGGCCCTCACTATCCATGAAGAAATGGTTGGCAACTTGCTACGGCACTTGGATGTGCACAAGTCGATGGGGCTGGATGGGATCCACCCAAGGGTACTGAGAGAACTGGCAGAGGAGCTGGCCAAGACGCTTTCCATCATTTATCAACAGTCCTGGCTATCGGGGGAGGTCCCAGTTGACTGGCGGCTAGCAAACATGACGCCCACCTACAAGAAGGGCCGGAGGGCAGACCTGGGGAACTACAGGCCTGTCAGTTTGACCTCAGTGCCAGGGAAGCTCATGGAGCAGATTATCTTGAGTGTCATCACACGGCACTTACAACCAGGTGATCAGGTCAAGTCAGCATGGGTTTATGAAAGGCAGGTCCTGCTTGACAAACCTGATCTCCTTCTATGACAAAGTGACACGCTTGGTGGATGAGAAAAGCTGTGGATGTGGTCTACCTTGGTCTACCTACGAGCCTGAATGGCATAAAGCATCAGAAGGGAATTTTACTGCAGCGTCTGCTCAAAACTACATAAGCTCTCAGTAACACTCTTCCAGCATGCACCAGTGAAGTGGAAAGAGCTTTAGCATGGTTCATTTCCAGAATCTGAAATAAAAGTAAAGAACAAAGTCTGCTAAAGTTTCTCTGTGTTTGTCTCACCCACTAAGG